TACCTTTGCTTTGTCAACCATGAGCCATGCATAGGTCATGAGGACCGGCAGCTATTTGGGGGCAGGATATCTTAAGGATATGTCCTTCTTAGTTATTCCATTGAATACCCCTTCAAAAACACTGAAACCCCTTTTTGTTCTTCCTGCCAGTGAGTGGTCAGGCTAACAACCCTTTTCTAAATTCTTTTTTTTTTTTTTTCAAATTTTGACACACATTCTCATGTAGCTCAAATTAGCTTTAAACTATATATGTATATGTATATGTATATGTATATGTATATGTATATGTATATGTAGGTAAGGTGGCCTTGAACCCCTGATTCTCCTGCCTGAGCCTTCCTGGGGCTGAGATTTCAGGCATGTGCAGTCAAACCTTATCTATTAGATATACTGAATAGATAATCCTACTGTTACTTATTCTAGATAGTTACTATCTTGTTTTCCCCAAGTTATTTTGAGAACAGAACAATAGGTCAGTCTGGCTCTCAGCACAGGTGAGCCTGTGTTCTGATCAACATGGGGATAAGTGCCAAGAGGAGGGTCATTCTTCCGGGATATTCTGGCAGAGCAGGAAGAACAGGACTCCCATTCCTCTGCAGGGGACCAGCTTCCTGCTCGCCTTTGTGCCACCTGCATGAACAACAAAGAAAGGTGGTAACCAAAGGCAAGGTGGGTGGGTTGGGGACAGCGGAAAATGAATGCTTTCCCTGCAAGGAAAGGCTTTCAGCTCAGGCACCTATTCCTCCCCCTCATTTCGATGGCCTGTCTCCATCTCAGCTACAGCTGACCCCTGTGCTCACAACATTCATGATCATTAGATCTAGCTGGGCATGGAAAAAAAAATCCCTCAGATTACTTTTTTCTAGACATATAATTGTGGCCCTGCTAGAAAAGATGGCCAAAACTTAGTGTTCCCAAGTGGGGAGCATGGGGTTTCAGTTAGGGGTTCTTTGTATGTCAAAATCTCTCTGGAGGCTTCCTCTGGTGGAGAACTTCCCTGGTGGAACCCAGGCTCCTAAACCCTTTCATAATCCAGTTCCAGTAGCTAAGCGGTCAAAGTAATTCCCTTTATTTCTGCCAGTGACCAGGGCAACAGAGAAACCTCTGAAGATGAAGTTGATAATCTTAAAGGGAGTAAGACAACTCCAGGGTGATCTGAGGAAGCAGGGAATGGGAAGGAAAGAGAGAGGGAGTGGGTGACAGAGGGAGGGAAGGGAGAAGGGAGGGAGGGAGGGAGGGAGGGAG